GAAGTCAAAATACTCAATCGTACGCATACATAAACACTACGTTTATGCGATGGCTAATTCACGAATTCGTTTCATGAATGTGGGTTAAAACTGGCAAAGTTACGTGGAATTGTTCAAATATAAAATAAATTCAAATAGATTAAAATGAGAATATATTAAAACCAATTTAAATAAAATATGGTACATTTTCAGTTACCAACAGGTTTTCCAAACCCAAAAGGAGGCCAAAACAGCCACAACCCTACTGTTTAGTTTCTCGCTAGCGCGTTGCCACTTTTTCAAATTCGTGAACTATGCATAAACGGGACCATTTTTGAATGAATGAAGTGAAGAATTCATGAATTCTGTCGCATAAACGTAATATTAGTCGGATTCTTGTCTGGCTTGCGGTGACAGTGAAACCGCGGAGCATGCAATATTTGAATGTCAAGCGCTCAATGCCAAAATAGCTAATTACCATATTTAAATCGTTAATTGAGTATACAGAATTGATCAACTTTCTACATATATGAAACTGAACTAATAAATAAGTTATGATGAGATGTTTTCCTTCTTACAGAAAGAAAAAAAAATTAGTTTAAGTTACTTCAGTGATAAGTTCATCTGTAAAAATAGACTTACTCAGTTACATTCTTTTGTAATAAGTACCAGGTTAAAAAAGCACAAATGGTCACTCTGAAGTCTTGTATCTGCCCTTTCGGCTTTTGAAGGCTGTCTGCCCATGATCCAACTACACAAATTTGACAAGATGAAAAGTAAACAAAGAATATGAAGACGAAGCATAAAGAAAAAATTCAAGCTATTTTGTAGCACTTTTTGTGCTAACCAATTTATTATTTTTGTACGTGTTTTTGCACCACCCAATCAACGCGCTCTTCATTTTAATTACATTTGCACAAAAAATTTATTGAAAATCGCTGAAATAAACCACCGACAAAACACATATAAAGAAAGAAGCAAAACAGAAGCAGCAAACTTCAAAATTACGAAGGGGACGGATTTTATGGAAATTGCCTTTTTTCTGCTAAAGAGATAGAGTATATTCGATTAAGAATGTCCACGATTTAGCTTTCGCTGATTCCATATATACACATTTTATATTGCCTATTTTTGCCTGTTTTAAGATATTTGCCTTTTCTACCTTTAAAAAAGTTACTATAGCATTTACAATTTTTTTTTTAAGATTAAAAAATTCACACATGCCCATGCGGCTTATAGAAGCGCAGGAACCTCTTGCCAAATTGGTGTTGGAAAAATTCAAAGCCGTTTTCTCAGCTAACGTAGGCTTGGATACAATAAGGGGTGTGGATAAAATTGTAAAGGGCGAGGAAAATGCCCTTATTCCTGATAATATGAACATTTCAAACGTTTCATATTTAAATTGGGCTACACTTGTATCAACTTACGTCGAGCGCACATTAAGTACATTCAAGGCTTTTCTTAGCGAAAATCGAATGAAAATGCTGCCAGAATATTTCAAAATGCATCTTGTGGTTCAATGTTACTACAACTATACAGATTAAAGTTTTATGAGTTAGAAACTCGAAAGGATAAAATAGTCAAAGATTCAATGTACAAATTTTCATATAATGAAACTAGTTATAGTTTTTCTCTTTTTACTTGTAATATAAATATTTCTAAAATTAATCACCGCTATTCTGGTTCGTTGAATTATGTTGAAAATAAAAACACTAACGGCAGATTTTAACACGTTTTCAATACTTATTCATTTCGAATGGACAAAAGGAATACAAATTTGTAGTGGATTATGTCATTGGTTGTCTCATAACGCCAATGAAAATCTCAAATGTCGACGAACGACTGCCGTTTCGACAATGGGAATAGGGCCGAATGTATTTTTGATTGTTCTTTTTTTAGTGCCTTATTTTGCTTTTTTTGCAATACCTAGTGCCTTTTCCTGCCTATTTCGTTATTTTATTTTGCCTTTTTTATAGGCTTTTAGGTCCTAAAAATCCGTTCCCTGGCTATTACAAATGGATGCTTCTCAACCGTCAGATCTGTTCTAATTGGTTCATGCGGTCTGCCAACAAATCGCTATTTCAAAATTAATAAAAATAATAAATCATGATAATCTGGGTACAATACCATGTGTTTTACACATCCACCCAAGGCGATTGCATATTTCGCTTCGAAACCATCTGAAAGATAACCTGGCGGTTTAAGGATTTTATTTATCTCCTTGCCATATACAGCGCTACTGGAGTAGTGCTGTCATATTAAAAAAAAAAAACGAGACGGTTTTACAGGGTGTCGAAAAAAATGTTTACTTTCCTGAAATACTCACATAGTGAGTGTTCAAAGCCTCTTGGAACAAATTGCACTTTTTTGCAGCACATGTGTACATCGAGGTACGGTCTAGTGTACGTTAACAACTTTAGGGCTTATAACCCGTCTCCACAGGCAAATGTTTTTGCTTACCAACTGTAATTTTTATTGACTGATATAACAAGTATTTTTGCCGGATTTAATCACTTAAAAAATTTGCATAATAACAAATATTTTAATAGAAAACAGCTCAATTTTCGCTTTTATAATAAATATAGAAAATGAAGAAGTTTTCACGCAAATGAAAATGTAGCTGTCAAACTACAAAATTACTGTTAATATTTGTCAAGATAAAAGCTCTGATAATTATGAATTCCAAGAGCAATATGCGGTCTCCATTGGCAAAATATTGCCTGTTAACATTATCAAGAAAACAACTTTTGCCTGTGGAGACAGCAACTTATTCTACTGACAACTACAAGTCGCTAAGAATTTACATGTAAATATGTACATACATAAGAATTTTAAAGGATAAGCGACGAAATATAACAAATTATTATTTCGAACCCATAAAGTTTTAGCTCTACTAATTAAACGAACTTAAACTAATGTTGTACATATTCAACATGATTGTAGAGGGGGCCTAGTTTTAAAAAAACCTGTGTTCGGCTATCGAAAAATATTCATAGCCGAAATAAAGTTGATTCTGAAGTTACTTGCAGTTTTTTGACATTGAAAATTATGTCAAAAACCTGCAGCTACTTAACTTCACTGTCAACTTTCTTTTAACTATAGGGAGTTTCACGCCAAGTTCGGTAAAATTGTACTGGGTATTCGTTAACTCGGTAAATCTTCCTAAGTGGGAACGCCACTTTGCTATTACTTCACGGTAAACCGAAATTTTTTTTTGTTGATTTTGTATTAAACATTTTAATATAAAGTTACATAACATACAGCTATTTTATACTTACAGGTCTTTTCTGCGTTGGTAGCAAACATTTTTTACCCGTTAAATAAAGTTCCTCTAAATTTGTAAACCTCTTTTCGCATTTTGTGTACTCTTGTAGCCGGTAAATTTTGTTAAAATCTCATAAGCTAGTAACAAAATATTGGCCCGTTAAATATGAAATACCAGAATTTTCACAAACCTTCATAGCTGAATTACTGAATATTTTGACTGCATTACCTAGAATTGCGGTGACAAGAGGTGATACAATTTTTTGATAATAATATTTTTCGGTAACAATATCATCGGTAATATGCAGAATAGACCTGTTACTCATTATTTGTACATATAGTTGCAAATAAGACCTTGAAATGAGTGTCAGCACAAATCAGCTGGTGTGTTAACGTATTTCGTTAAGCTATTCTTTAGAACTTTATCAGAGCTGCCAGCTCGGTAATTCGGTTAATTTTTATTCGGAAAAATGGCAATTTTACAAGAAAAAAATAAACCACGGAAGCCAACGAATACCAGCTACAATATTACCGAGCTCGGTGTGAGGACCTCCTATGATTACGGCGCATTTTAATTAAGTACCAGTTTGACCGAGCATATACATACTCTTAAAGTTTTTAGACATTAAATAAGATATCAAGGTTTGGATACCAAATAGTGTTCATTTAGATATGTAGTTTTAATTTATAAATATTTTGTTTGTAATATTGTTAATGGAATTTCTTATTTAATATTACGATGCAAACACATATTTATATATATATATGAGGGATTTTGCAGGCAACTTTGAGTTAAAAGCAAAACAAGCCTGGTGTGAACGGCCTTTCAACTAATCGCTTCCAATGAAGTTCGGGCAGCCAACTTTTAATTCAACTAATCGCCTCTAAAGTTGCCTATAAAATCTCGTAATTGGCTCTCTCATTCGTAATTGGCGCCCCAATTACACTTCGAGCTGCAAAAAAGCTCAGTTAGTCTAGACTTAATTTCCGTAACGTAACTTAACTTATAATTTTGGCCAACCTGTTATATAAGAAACTGTGTTGGCGGATGGTTAAAACTTAACTTACCATAAGAAACTTAAGAACCTCTAGATTTTAGGTTCTTAAGTTACGGCCTTACGGAAATTGAGAGCGGTGAGAGAATCAGGCTTGCCAGACTCTCGTTTTTATATTTCTTAAAAATAAATGAAAGCAAACATTTTTGTTTGCATGAATTTTGTTGATATGGCGTTTTAGCCAGCGAACTGATAAACAGCTGAAAAAAATGCAAAAACAAAATATTTCTGCTGTTGGCCTAAATTCACGTGTTGAGTAATAATTGATGATTTCTTACGGAAAGTTAAATTAAGTTAAGTCTAGACTAACTGAGCTTTAATTCGCCACACAAAATTTTGAGAGCGAATTACCTACCTCATTTGTAAGTAATTCAGACACAATTACCTTACGAATTACTAACTAATCGAACTAATCGTTGTCTTCCCTAATTGCTATCGAAGTTTTCCCACTAATTTAACCGATAATCATAGGTCAGGCTTCTTGCAGGAGTACCACATGTTTTCAGTGAAACAAAATGAACGTGCACGCAATGTCAGTCTGCACACGGCTCGTATCGCTTTAGACGCGTTATACATTTTTTAAGGATTGTTTGCTTTTTAGTGCTGATGAAGGGTAATTGTGTTTCTTTATTTTCTAAACAATAATTTAAATAAATACGACATGGAAAATGGTTGCAACCCTATTCAAAAACATGTCTGAATTAAGGATTTTTAAAATACTTTTGATTTGATACCCATACCATGATGATAACCTTATAATGCAAAATATTATCTGCATACAAAATTTCGTCAAAATCGTTGGATCCGTTTCCGAGAAACCTATGGATATAATATAAACATACATATGTATGTATATTTACATATGTACAAGAATTGCTCGTTTAATATAATAACATTTAATTTATAAATATTTTGGAATAGATGGTAACCTTATACGAACATTCGCGGGCATAACACCTCTTTAGATAACCTTAGAATGCAAAACATTGTCTGAATACAAAATTTCATCAAAATCGCTATAGCCGTTTCCGAGAAACCTATGGATATATATTTATTTACATATATGTATATGTACATATTCACAAACGTATATGGGTCATTTCCAAGCAAAGTGTACACGACAGGTATTTTTTATATTTTTTTTAAAGATTGATAAATTTATCCTCTGAAATCGTTTACTAAAAATTAACTTTTTTTCTTATTTTTGTAAAATATATTCCAGAATGTCACTTTTTAAAAAGTAAAGCTGGATTTCCCCTAGGTATTAAATAACAAAAATTCCAATGGAAAAGTAGGGCATTAAAAAATATTCGTGTCATTACGTTGAAAAAAATAGTCATTAAATTAGTTTTCACATGCGATTTTTTAATGCCTCAAATTGTTTGTCATATCAATGCCTAGTAGAAATTAAGCATAAGCATTGTACTGATTTTTAACATTAAATGCATGCTATTTAAACATTTGCATATCACTTTGAAACTCATTTATATGCTAACATTGAAGTTTTTCACCTTCTTATGACATTAACGTGGGGATTTTCTTGAGAGGTAGTCTTTTTGTTTAATCTTTATTCGGCAACAATTTCCCATATACCATTTGAACACTTTTGGAGAAATAATTAAGAAATCCTTTTTCACCTAAACGCGACATACTGGAAATATTTCAAATTTTTTGTTTTTTTTTCTAAAAGTCTTATTTCACCAAAATATAAAAACAAGAAAATCATTGAAACTCCTTAAGCAATAAAGAGACATTGGTAATTATCTTATTTTTAGTGTTTTTTTTTGCATCAAAAACTAGGTGACATTCCGGAAATATTTAGCCTTACTTACCATGGTGCAATGATAAATTCACTTAAGACACACAAAAAGTAATTGATTTTATAACAGAGACCGGCTTTGAGTACTAATAAAATTAGTGTACTTATTCATGATCCATAACATTTAGTGCAAATGAGTGCTTACACTAATTAAAAAAATGGGTAATGGGCTGTTTTTGCTTACGCGTAAAAGCACATTTAGCGCATTTAGCTCTAAATGCTACTCTAAATGTACATTTATCCATACAAAATTCGTCACCTAAATGCAACTAAATGCAACTCCATTTTTGCATTAAGAATCTAAATGCTAAAAGCAACCATGTGATCTTCCAAAATTTCCACGATTCGAACATGGTTTAATGAGAAAAAGTCGCAACATTGCATTTTCGAGTATACAGTGGCTAGCTGCGTTTCAGTGATCGCCGATCGAGATTTCATTTATTATTTTACATTATTTGGATAAAGAAAAGTTAAGAAAATTCAATATCGATGTGATGCTGATAGAAATCTGGATCAATTTGTGATCATTTCTGTTTGTTTTGTTTCTTAATAAAGTGAGGAAATTTTAATTGACAGCACCGACAAATGAATACATACATAAACAAATGGTCTGTCATGGTTAAAACAATTCAAATTTTTGTATTGAAGTTTTGGTTTAAAATTTATTTTTTCCTTTTCAGTAGGGTTTTTGCACATTATCTTCTGCGTGAGAATTGATCGTAATAGATACGGATCTGAATAAGCGACTGGAACACGGCTGTTTGTCAAAAGCATACGATTTCGAACTCGCGTAAATGTACATTTGCTAAATGCGATAGCATGAACGCTCTTCGAAAACATATGTTCGAGAGTGTATATGTTGCATTTTAAATGCAGCGAAAACGCTGCATAAGAGTAATATCCACCAAAACAAGAACACACTCAAAATATACTAACTAATGTGTCGCGGCAATTTTTGCCTCTATCGAGTATAGTATACCCCAGGGATGATAAATGAGTTTTTTTAATTTTGTACCAAATGGCCAAGAAAAAGTGTACTAAAAAAGCCGAGAAAGTACCAACATTTAAAAGACCATACATACATAGTTACATATACATGTTTTTAGATTTTCTGTATAAAAATCATGATATAAAACATGGAGTGTCGAAGGTGGAAAACTTAAGTGCAAATCAAATTGAAAAGGCCACCAAACGCCAAGGTAATCAACAAAAGCATACAAGTTATACTTATTACATTAGTGCAAGTAATACAAAAATTTTCATTAAAAATCCGTTGCATTTAACGGAATGGAATATTTACAAAAATGTTTCCTTTCATAGAAATAAACAAGTTAATAGCAGTGCTCTTTTGCAAAGTGGGGGAAATCGAGAGCGCAAAATGACACTGCAATCCGCCACTTTCTGCTGGAAAAAATTTTCCCTGCGAAAACTTACAAGTAAAAAAGTCTGCTGATCACAAACATGTGTTCGTGAATAAACGAAAGAAAGAAACAAAAGTTTAATTTAGTTAATTTAGTATTAATCTCTAATTTTCTAATTTCCGGGCGTTAACTATGGCTGGCTGCCGTATACAATTTTTCAATTGTACCATATTTTTCCAGAAATATACGAAAAATAGATAATAATGCGGAAAGGTTCTGACCGAATTTGTCAGTTGATCGTTAAAACGAATATGGGATAATTTTAAAGGCAAATTTGTAGCTATATCTACTTAATTTTTGTGAAACAAAGAAGGGTGCTTAGAGGAGATTCTTTTATTTTTGAACGCGTCATAATGTGGTATCAAAAATATTTGTTAGAAAAAAACTTATTCATTCCGAGATAATTCATTTATATTTTAAAAACATTTTCCTATACAAAAGTATTCAATAGTAAAAAAATTCCAAATTGGGAACAATGCACCAAGCGGATAATAAATTACCAAATGAACCACCTATTGCAACTGTGAAAGTTATCAGCAGTTTCGAAGATTACAAGTTTTTGCAAATTTTGCAAACTGCTCAGGATTTTTTCTGCTGGAGGATTTTGTGCGGAGAATACAAAAATACTCCTACCAAATTTACCTATCAGAAAGTCAGAATGGCGTAAGTTTCACGTTGTTACTCGTTTTGCGTTCAATAACCTTTTCTGATATATTAGTCTTCCCCTCAATTTTACTCGCTATGATTATTTTATTCTCTGGCTGCTAGTACTTACTGGAAAATATTATGAATAGACCTATTATGACAGCAACTTTTGTTTTTTATTTAAGTAAGAGTTTCGTTTTTAATAAGCACCATGTATTTACTTAAATATGGTAGAAAAATATGACTATATTTTTATGCACAAAAATTCAAAAGTGGAAGTAAATAGAGTGTGGTATTTCGACATAATTGAGCTGCAGTACCGTATCTTGACAAAAATGTATTAAAAATGTCAATGTAGTACCAATGTACTTTTGGCTTCCAACATGTACGAAAAAAGTATAATTGTACCATCAATTTCATCACTGGTCTACCCAGCTGGATTTTACTCATTTGGCCGAGTGAGAGGCTGAAAATAATTTGAATGAGTTTAATATTAATTGTGTTCTTCCAAGGCGAATTAATATAAGGTGGTGTTACTAGCTCAGCTGATTTTGTGTATGTGTTTCGCCGCACGGCTTCTGATATCAAATTGAAAAATTTTGTTTGAATTCCTACACACACTCTTACAGATTTTGACAGTTTATGCCGCCAAAGCAAAAACAAAATACATGTAAATTTTAGTTTTTGTACTCCTGCTATCACCTTATATTAATTCGCCTTGTGTTCTGCTTTGCGCTACATCAGTGTTGGCATTTTTGGTACAATTGTATTTTTATAATACAATTTCGTTTACTACGCAAGACTTTTTATACTATTTTGTGATGAATACTATAAATAGGTTTGTTCGTCGAGCAAAAAATGTGTACGAATTTGTACGAATTATCACGATTTTTGCCCAAATCGCGTTCGTGCAGACCAAAAATTTATCCAACAATCAAAAATTGTGAGAGCAAAGTGACAATTCTCTTGGAGAGAAGTTGCAAATTCTTGCTGGAAAAAATTTTCCCAGCAAGAATTTGCAAACACGAAAAACATGTGGTTGTGGCGCATGGTTGCATTTTTGTCTACAATAATTTGAATAAATTAGTTCGTTAAATTTAAAAATTTATAAACACGAGCGATTTTGTTATGACAAAAGGAAGTAAATAATTGTTGATATAATTAATTTAGTTAATTCCAATGATTTGAATTTAACTCGGCTGAAAAAAATTGTATTCGCAATCGGAATGCAATTGCAACCAGAGTCGATTTAAGAAACCGGACAGCTAGTACGATGAAGAAATTGAAATGTATGTATAAGAAAGTCAGAACAACAAGAAATATACATGTATATCCTGTTTTTGGCCATCCGAAAGAATTTTAAAAATTCTATAAAAATTTTTTATGTTTGAAATGCAACCGTGGACACCAGCTGGCAAGGAAACTTGCAAATTCCTGCAAATTTGCGTTCGTGCAGAAATTTGCAAGTTTCTCAACATGAGAGAGAATTTGAGAGAATTTTTTCTTACTCTCTGATATTTTGAGTGTTGGATAATTCTTGCTGGATTTTCGACGAACAAACCTAATATATACACAGCTCTGAAAATTCACTGCGGGATTTTTTTTTTATCTTTTTGTCTTCGCCTTCTCGTTTTTGCCTTTGTAGGTTTTGAAAAAAGGTTTTGAAATAACCATTATAACATAGCAAAACTGTGCTATCAACCTCACAATCAGCTTCATATAGTTAGAAACAGTGTCATCGTTAATTCTTAATGTTCTTAAATATCATAACTTCACGACACTCATATATTGACTAGAGTTGACTATTTTTTTTTATTATTTTTTAATTCTAATTATTTGTTTATAAAAATATAGTTAATTCCTTAACAATAACTGTATGAAAATAAGTTTAAATCTTTGAACAACATTAAAAAAGTCGACAAACTTTCGTAAAAATTTCGAGCTTTCTATTTCAATTTTAGTATAATAAAGTGCATGTTTAAAGTAGCTGAAATTTACCGTCAATGTCTAATCTAAACGCGATTTTTTTAACGAAGAAAATGAGCAACACCTTCATAAAAAAAATATATATATTAAAAATCAACGATAAGTCGCAGCTATTTTAAACTTGCGCTTCATTTAAATTGATCGGACTACAAACGGCATTCTCAAAACATGTACTTCTAGGAAATCTAGTTAAAAGCCCGAAATTTTTACGAAAGTTATTTGATTTTTTTAATGTTGCGCAAAAATTGAACCTTGGGGTTTTATTAAAGTATAAACTGCATTTTTATAAACGAATAATTAAAATTAAATAATTTTAAGATAAATGGCCAATCTTGTCAATATGTGAGTGTCGTAAAGTTTTGATAAGCACTTGAATTACTAAAAATAAATTGTCAAACTTTAATACTGAATTCAAAGAAGACGTCTCTTTTATCCTTGCATAATAACTTGAAAAAATTTGTTTGTTAAGAAGTGTACCTTAAAATATGTGCATACACATTTATGTTCAAAGTGTAAAATTTACCTACATAAACTTTCCCATGAATACCATCAAATCATTGATCTTGAAGGGAATCTATGTATGCATGTACTAAGAAAATATTTGAGCAAACTAAAAAGTCGATGCAATTTACAGTCGAAAAGTATAGTTTTTGTATAGATTTCGTACTGAAGGAACAATTTCATTTCCCAACACTGTGCGACATGCGGGCGCCACTATAAACAAGTGTGAGCTAAAAGTGAGAGTGTGTTACTGTGCCTTCACATGCTGTCGCTTTCTCGTCGTTTGTAAATGTTTTGTTGCTATAAACGACGAAAATCACTAAATTCACTAAAATCACTCATTGGTGCTTCTTAGTGCTGCGACTCATTTCGGTATAACACATTTGTTTAATGGCTCAATGAGAGAATTGAGCACTACACCAATTCATGTCAACAGAGAACTTAGTCATTGTACATACCCTGCAGGAAAAGTTACCAGTTGTGAACTAGAATGCTACCAGTTTGCGTTTCAGCCCAACTAGTTCACGTTGTATCCTTTTTCAATGTTAGCGACTGGTATTTTTAACATGGCGGTGCCATAGGAGATGTCAATTGTCCGCACCTGCATCAGCACGCTACCAGTAGAAATACTAGTAGCATCATACCAGTTGACGGGATAGACTGCCTATTCATCCCCCGTGAAAAGCATAAGTATGTCATTTTGCTCGCGGCGCAGCAACAGTGGCAATGGTCGACAGAGTAAAGCTTTGGAACGCCAGATCAAGAGATCCGAGTTCGAATCTCAGTGAGCGAATCTTTTTTTATTTTACTTTTTTTAATTTTTTTTTGTCATTTATATCTCTTGTGTAATTTTTAAATTTATTGTTTTAAAAAGAACAAAAAATTATTTATTTTCATTTTTTAATGACATTTGAGTACATATTTAGGTTTTTTCCAAATCAAATTAAATTTATGTACAATTTTTATTTTATATTTAAATTGAAATAATTATTTAAATTAATTTACTTACTTTACTTTAACAACCTCTACGCGCACTCGAATCTGAGATCTCAGAACCAGAATCAGTAGTATTCACTCGACGCCACAGCCGACATTTGTGATGAAAGCAATTAACCACGTTTTAGTTTTGGTTATGCCTATTCAAAGACAGATGTCGCTGATCGCATAAGTTGTTCGAAATCGCCGAAATGGTAGGCCATCGCTTTAGCACATACTGGTTAATGAACTAGTACTTATACTGGCTGGTTTGGCATTTCACTGCGGAGAACTGGTATAATTATAGTCCATGACGAACTGGTATGACTCTCCCCTTTAATACCAGTTTTCGAACTAGAATTTCTACCAACTAGTTTACTTTTTTCTGCGCGGAACTGGTATAATTATGGTTCATAACGAACTGGTATGACTTTTATCCTTAAATAATAGTTCATGAACTGGAATTTGTGCATACTGGTTTAGCTTTTCACTGCAGGGTACTCTCGCTTTGTGTGCCGTACGTAAAATAGTGTTAGTGCATATGTGTGAATATTTTTCAATGAATATTATCCACTACACTATTTCTTGTGTTATTCAACACTTAAAATCATGAATAATTGCAGTTCCCTGTTTTATAAGTTATTTCTTATGTCAATCGATCGTTAGCTTCTTTTGCTTCTTAACTGCAATACACTTAGGCAAGCAAAAGAACTAAAGTTAATATCACGGCAAAAAAAGTGATATTCAAGAAAATTAGCGGGGCAATATTATAACAAAAATAGAATAAAACATAAAAGTTATGGTAGTCATTCACAAACAGTTACGCTTTTTTTTCATGGTTTCTTTGTTCAAACTTTTTTTCATGTTGATTATCGCATAACCTGAGCGGGGACAAATATTTTTATATGGAGTAAGTATAATATGTGTTTCAAAGAAATACCGTTCTCAAAAGAAAAAAAAACGACTCACAATAATAAAAAACAGCTTTGTTGGTGGTTCATTATTTGGATCACATAATGCTCTTTTAAATTTTTCGTTTTAACCACCATAAAATAGTTTGAAAATGGGGGACAAAAAGATAGCACTTTGTTTGGAAATAACTCATATACACAAATCGCTCGTTGAAAGTAATATAAATTATAAACAAAATATAGAATTCGCGGTGGAACACTTACCCGCATACGTTGCACGCCCGGGTGCACATGGCACCGGCCAGATCCCGATGTCAAACGTTCTGGCAACCATCATACGGGTCAACGTCTCTGTAAACAGTACTTATCAATGCAATCTTATCAATGATCATAAAAATTAAAACTAACAATTTCGAAAAAACAAAGCTTTGAACAATTGCGATATTACAATTTATAATTCGTTTTAAACTTTTGTGCCCTGCTTTAAGCATGTGCACTATACTACATGTACGGAACTTCACAAAGTTTTTAGTAAGCATAAGCAAAACTGACTTTTATGTGGAAAAAAATGCGCAACACTCCACAAAAAAAAATCTAAAAAGTTAATGAAAATTTTTAGCGACATGGAACTGGCACTTCATTATACTAAAACTGAATGGGATATAAAACTGCATACTCAAAATATTTTTAGGAAATCTAATAAAAATTCGAAATTTTGATGAAAAGTACTTTAAGTTTAATTAGGTTTTTTGAACTTTGAGCAAGCTTTGAAACTTTTACTTATGTGGTGTCTGATATAGATCGACCCATATTTTAAATGAAAATTATTAACAATAAATAAATAAAGATAAGTTAGCAAAGACAATTCTAACGCGTTGGTCCCGTATGGCTGGAAAAAATCTGGCAACACTAATAACGACGCCTACATCGGTAGTTCTCAGAAATACGAAAACTGCGATATTTTAGTTACCACTAAAGCTTATTCTCTCCAAATTGATATTTACAATGATCTTCAGGCAGAAAATAAGCATTTTATAATTTTTTTTTTAAATGGGCGTAGCCACGCCTACTTGTGATTAGATGTATATATCGCCGTAACCGCCTAAACAATTTCTTTTAAATTTTGCACAATAACCACGCCCACATCCTATATAACGTAACTTCTGAAGCGAATTTACATATTCAAAATCGATTTTTGCAGTAATTCTTAAGCAAGAAATGCGTCTTAAATAAATTGCTAGGAAATGGGCGTGTATCTCATTATTATGGAATTTTGGAAAAGGGGCGTGATACTGCCCACTTATAACTATATAAGTTTATCTCATTAAGATGATGTTTAAATTAGCGGCAAAACCACTCCCGCTTACCATGTAACGGTTGTTTTCAGGAAGGTGAAAAAACTATATTTAATACGTGCGCCGGGTATTTAATGTTCGGCTTCGCCCGAATTTAGACTTTGTTACTTGCTTTCAACTAAATTACATATGTAGGGAGAAAGTGCCGCATTTTCAAAAATTAATTTATGAACCTGTCAGCACGAACATATGTATGTATGTATATTAGGGCGGATCGATTTGTAGGGACCCAAAAAAATTAACAGAGGCACATCGTGATTATGATTTTTTGGGTAATTTCAATCGTTCTTGCCCAGGAAACCATAGGTCTAAAATTAATTTCGTTCCAGCGATTTTTTCTATCTAGTTTTTTTTCAAAAAGTGGTTCACCTGTTGAAACAACTGTATTGAAAACTAGCCAAAATGTGGATCCGGGGGTTTTTTGGGTCGAGGAATCAATTTCATTAATTTAATTTTTTCTTTTGACGGCCGACACAGGGGCTTCCGTACTTCTTTTTATAATGCCTTTTTCCGAAAATCGAAAACATTGCTGCGAAAATCCAGAAAAATTTACTTTCTCATAATGCAATTTTTAAATAGCCCAAAATGTTCAGCGTTGAACATTAGGGGGAAGGAAAGTGCATTCATACACAACTTACTATCGGTTTTATTCAAATTAGTTTTTTGCATGTATGTATGTATGTCCTGGAACTTTGCAATCAATATTTAAAAAACTTCCCGATAAGCTACAGACTTGAAACTTTAAACTTAGCTCAGTACTCGAGGACAATGCAATATAAAAGATGACTTAATCCGCTAGGTGGCGCAGGAGTCGAGATATTTGGAAAACCCGTTTTCAGTACATTTTTATTCAAAGCAAAGTTAAGAATGTAAGTGACAGATAATATTTTAAAACACCACAGTACATGTTTTTGACAATATTTTGGTATATAAATAAAATATAATTCATAAAAAATAAAGGTGTTATTTATTTTAACATGAGTGTACACATTGTACACAGTAGCAAATAAATTATTTTATGTTTACGACATTTTTGAATAGCAATAATGAGATAATTTCCATCTTCAGTGTTTAAATTGTCAAAGAATTCTATACATTTAATTTTAAAATTCAATTTGAAGTTCACTTTAAAAAAATTTTATTACAAGCCGGTTTCCCTCTTTGCGCCAGGAAGCAAACTTTATACTTCAGATCCTCTGAATTGCTTCGTTTGAGTGTGGTATTGAAAAAAGGAAAACCAAATTACATATTTTTTCAAACTGTGGAAAACTGCCACTATTTTAGGACTTCATCTATAAATCCTTATGGCTTAAATTAATTTTTTTCAACTACGCAAATACTTTGAAAGACTAAGAACTCGCCAAAAAGAGTATCTAACTCTAAGTCTTGTACATATGCAAAACTCTTTTACAATGTCAGTAAATTGTGAAAAATGTGTGTAAGTTATAGGGAAAAGCCATTCGAATATTCAAATTTGCTGTTGTTAAACTTAAAGTTATTTTCGAGATAACTAACAACACACGACAAAAAAACGTCAGCCTTCTTTTTAAATAACTTAAGCTCCTTCATATAATCGCAACTGGTACGTAACGACCCGGCGATATGCCCGTAAAACTATTGATTTTTTTTGTTGCATTAATTTCTTGGGCATATTACCCATTATCTGAAACATGTCATATTAAACATTATCTAAAACATGTCAACTATAATTAAATTATTTTCTTCTTACTTTTTACAATACCGTTTAAGTAAGTCCCAACGTTATGGAAAAACCTTAAGAAAATCCTAAAGTATTTTGTTTGAATTAAAAATTCAGTACAAATCAGTACAAATTTTGAAAAATCAGGACGTTAGCGTACTGATTGAAGAAATGAATAAAATCAGTACAAGAGTTGAAAAATCAGTACTGTGCTGATAAAAAAACTACACAAAAAATGTTGGCAGTTATGTGGCGCGCGAGTCTATATAATTAAAAAATCGGTATCCGCTTTGGTCTATATTCAGAATATGTGTATTGCCTATTTAAATTGAAATATATTGAAAATTTTGTTTGTTAAAGTCAAATCTAGCACGTTGGAAAAAGTGTAGCTAAAAAGCAGGGTGGGGAAAATTTTGGTCGCATTGAAAGAAATGGACAGAAGTAGAAATATACAGACAATATAAGATTAATTGCAAGATTTCAAAGGCCTAAACAGTAGAAAATAAAATTATAGTTAAAAAACTAAAAACACGGTTTTATTACAACAAGAACTAAAAAGTATAAAATAATTTATAGATATAGCGATTCCGTTTAAGAAGAATAGGAAGTTCCTTAACTTGATTAAATTTAACTCTTTTAAATTAGCTAAAAATAGGATTAAAGTGATTGGCCCGTAGTCAAAGTCAAAATAAAATCCACTGTAAATTTTTTTGCAGTTTTTTTACAGATGTCCCATTGAAAATTATGTCAAAAAGCTGCAACT